ACAGGCTGGTTAAAGAGTAAGTTTGGGCCAGTTATTGTAAATAATTTACCAGCCCAAACAAAACCCCTGAACCAGCCCAAATCAAACCCTCCAGACCAAATCACAAGCCCCAAACAGCCCAACCCGGTCCAAACCCCTTTCCCACTTAAACGACGCCGTTTTACTCGCAACAAATCTCAGCCGTCGAGGTTTACTTGATCGAACGGCTGAGAAGCTGGGATGTGTGAGTATATATATGTCCAAACGATCCTACCCCCCCCCCTCCAGGACCCCCTTACCCCCCTCGTCTCTCCCATCTCTCACCAGAAACCTTAACGCCACCGCCCCTCCGCCGTCCGCCGCCGGCCGAAAATCGTCTCCGCAGGCGGCGAGTCTCCAATGGCTCCGAAATTTACACCATATCCTCTTCTCCACCTCCCCTTTCCAAATCCATGTTTAGTTTTCCTCAAAACCCTTCCAAACTCCTCGAATCTTCATTTGAATTTATAAACCCTAGCCGCCGCCTTTATTCTCCGATGGCGGCGCCACCTCAAATCTCACCAGAAATCACACCACAAAGCCTCCTCATCTCCCTCTTTACAAATCCATGGTCTATAGCCTTCGAACATTCCCAGAACTCCTCGAATTTCAAATCGTAAAAGTGGCAGAATCCAAAAGCTCGAAGGTGTCCGATTTCTTCCCAACCTTTTGAGTCCAGAGGTGATTTAAGTCACCAAAATGATGCTTCCGTTGGTTTTTGGCAAAGAACAAACGTCTAGTATTATTTTGGGACTTGAATCGAATTCCAGTCTCGTTCGACCTTGCATAGGTGAGTTGCTCTTATTAGTTTAAACATAATTTTTCTTTGTTTCCGTTAACGCATTCATGCTTTTCTTCTTCTTTCTTTTCTGGCAGTAATCAGTATTTTATGTTTGTAGTTTAGCTAGTTTAGATCTTGTGATTTCTCCTCTTTTCTGTTAGGTTAAGTCTATGAATTAGTGTTGTTTATTAATTTTTACTTGTTAAATTCATGTTTGATTGACGATTGCCTGTAGTTTGATAATTTGAATTGATAGGGATTCATTTAGGATTAAGAAAATAGATTTGATTAATCGTAGGTTTGTTTGAGTATTACTGTTTTCCTATAATATTTTACTTTGTTTTGAACTCCTTCAATTGATAGTTTACTGCTTTTAGCGGTAGGGTTCACATTAATTAGATTTAAATCAGGTTTATTAGGTTATAGGATTATTTTAAGGATTATTTGGTTATAGTTGAATGATTTGTAGATGTTTTGACCATGGTTTGGTTTAAAAGGTCTAGGCTAGTTGACATGGGGTTGGTAATTTCAGACTGGTTAAAAGACCAGTTTAGGTATTTTAGATAGAAAGAATATTGTAGTAACTAAAATAGAATCATCTAGAAGTTTCTAGGTTGGGGTGCAAGTTGAATATCAGTAGTTTTAGTGTAGTGACTTGAGAAACAAGTCAAAAACTTTAGGGACTATTGAATAAAATCTGAAATAAAAGAGGGGGAAAAGGTGTGAGTGAGATCTAGAAGCTTCCCCCTGAAGTTTGCCTATAAAAAGCAGCCTATCTGCCTTCTTTTCCAAGTTTGAACATCTGAAAAATTTCCAAAAAAGTTTTACACCTCTGAAAATTCCCCAATTTCCAGCTTTTGAATTCCCCCTAAAAAATCTTCTTCTTCAAATCTGAGTCCCAAATTTGAATTTCAAAATCAAAAGAAGTTCAAATCTAAACTCCTATAGTAGAAACCTTAATTTTTAGATCTTAAAATTCTGCGGAAAAAACCAAAAACAACAGAAAACTTTCAAAAAAAAAAAACAAAAATCCTGTTCCATTGAAAGCTTTAGGTTAATTTGGGTTTTTAGTTGTTGATTTACATTGTCAAGCTCAATATTTAGTTGCTGAAATGTTCTAGACGTTCCTGGGGTGTTTGTCGAGTGTATTTGGGGTTATATCAAGTCAAAGTTGGGTTGTTCAAGCTTATTTTGGTTGCTACTGGTTTTTGCTACTTAAAATTAACTACTGGGCTGATTGACACAATTTCTGGGTTCAAAATCTTCTAGTTGCTGCTGTATACTGCTGTTGCTTGCATCGCTGACTCTCAATTTCTGAATTTGTTCCCTTTCCAGGTACTCATTTGGCCTCATACAATTGTGAAGACTCAATGTAGGATTGCTGAAGTATATGAAATGATGAAATATTATTACATTTGATCTATGAAGTCTCCTGTTCCTTGTTTAGTTTAAAGGCATAGAGTAGTTTTGTTTATTTGAACAATATATGGATTTGTAATTAATTAGACTGCTGGACCTTTTAGAATTGCATGAACTTTCTGCCATTACATTAGTTTAATATTGATTTGTAGCTAATTAGAACATTGAACCTTTTAGAGTTGTGTGAATGTGTTTTCAAATAGTGTTAGTTTAGAATTACATGAATATGTTCTGCAATAACTCATGTATTAGATTTTCACGTTAGTTCATGTATTAGTTTGATTTGAACTTGTAGTTTAGACTCATGTGTTGTCATGTACTGATTCACTTGGTTCGTTGTATACTTGTTTAAATTGCAACTCACAGGAGTCCATTTATATTTGGCGATTCAGGTGTAATTTTGGAATTAACTACTGGTTAAGTTCCAGGTGGATCATATTAATTAGTTCATGACAGGCACGAAATAGTTGCGTAGTAACACCTGAATTAAATAAATGACGTGTTTGTTTTACAAAATAGTTAAGATCAATAATGAGGCAAGACAACCAGGGCCTTACGTTCAAATGATAACTGGGCCTAGTGTCGTCATAAGAAGCCCAAAGCTGGGCAAATTTAAAAGTTGTATTTCCTTCTGCCTATATAGGGCCAAGTTTGAAGGCCCCAAAATGCTGAAATCAAAAAATCCTTTAAATTATATTAGGAATATAGGGATTGATTTGCAAATATAAATTTAGGTTCTCGAGTTAAGTAGCGGGTTCAAATTAGGAGGGTTTCCCCTTTTGTTTGAATTCGGACTTGAACCCGAGACCCGAATTTATAGATGTAAACTAATTAGGCCCTTTTAGAGACAAAAAATAAATAGAAAATCGTAGTTTGCTTTAGTTTGGCCTTTAAATAATAAAGTGAGATGAGCCTCGCCGAACAAAATGCATAAATTGCGGGGCCCTCATTAAATGCTTAATTAAAAATACTTAGAATTCGGGGCGTGCTGTTTAGCGAATTTCACGGCCCTCCGCAAAGATAATAACCCGTTAGTCGCTTTAGGCGCGCTTTTTAATAATTTTACCTTCTTAAATACGGGTGTGCATTTCATGTAACCCAAATCCAAATCCAAAAAAGTTGAATAAGAATGTGTCGAGGATCCGGGTGCATTTCATGTGACGTGATCCAAAAATACGTTTTTAAACGACGTTCACTTTCTTAAAAGTTAACTAAAAGCGGTTAAATAATTCTAAAATTGCACTATAGGTTTGAGCATGTATTAAAATCAGATTTTAGCCATTCATAATAATTTAAGCGACCATGCTAGAACCACGGGATCCGGGGGTGCCTAACACCTTCCCTCGGGTCAACAAAATTCCTTATTCAGAATTTCTGGTTCGCAGACTCCACTCGGGAAGTCGAAATTTCCTCGATTTGGGATTCAAGATAAACCGGTGACTTGGGACACCAAAAGCCAATCCTATCCCAAGTGACGACTCTAAATAAATAAATAATCCCATTTCGAATAATGTCACTTTAAATGGAAAAACTCCCTTATACATTATCCTTCGGGGTAGGTGTGTAAAAAAGGAGGTGTGACAATATATCAACCTCTCTCTCTACTTCTCTTTAGTTTATTTACTTTACAGTTTTTATTTTATAACCGTTTGTACAATAATAGTCAATTGGTCCATCAATTCATGGATTGGTTTTTGCCCAACCAAAATTTTCTTTGTCCTTTGCAATTGATGAAAAGTAGCTAATTGAAGACATTGGTCCACATTAATCTCCAGTAACAACATGGTCCAAGGCTCCAATAGGCAAGGAACGTATTCCTTGGTGTTGTCTACTCCTGAAAGGGACACCTTGTCTACTTTCCTTCTCTTGTCGGTTACTGCTAAGTGCTAATACATGTATTACTTGTTCCACCTTATATTCAGCATAAAATAATACTACATAGCTTCCTCTACAATTTTATTAATTATTCAAAAATTGACTAGTAATGCAAGATTTTTTACTTCATAGCAAAGTATTATACAAAATTATATGAACTTCTATACCATGATTGTTTTTACTTATACTTGTAACTAAACCTGCCCAAATATTATTAATCAATTAGTAACAATAGTTCATTATTATTTAAATAATTTATTATATAAAGAATCCATATAGTTCTCTGTTACTAGTACTCCCTCCGTCCCCAAAAAGAGTAATTTTTGTCGGATTTCAAAAGTCAAAATTCAGAATTTTAAACGTAATTCGAACATAGAATTTTGATAAATTACATAAAAAGTACTACTCCCTCCGTTTCAATTTATATGAACTCATTTGACTGGGCACAAACTTTTAGAAAAGAGAGAAGACTTTTGAACTTGTGGTGTAAAATGAAGCACATATATTTTGGATGGCTATAAATCATTGCATAAAGGTAAAATGTTTCCAATTAGGAAATGGGGTAATTCTTTTTGATACTGACTAAAAAAAAATAGGTTCACATAAATTGAAACAGATGAAGTATATGTTATAATTAAAAATTCAAAATATTTTAAAAACATACGAAAAAATTGCAATAAAAAATAACTCGTTTGACTTTTAAAAATTCAAAAAGTATCACCCTTGTTGGGACGGGGAGTATAGTATTTGAACCAAATGCCCTTTGTAATGGAACCAAAGAATGCAAAGCATCAAACATCATCATCAATAATAAGATGAGAGAAAAAAGGGCAGAAATGGGCCATAATTTAGTGACTGTGATGTCAGTGTAGATAAAGTGATGGCCAACAAAAGAAAAATCTGTCCTCCAAAATAAAGATTCTTACTGTACATTGTACAAACAATGCTACTACTAAAAATGTTCTGTTGCAGCTATTATTATTATTATTATTATTATAACACTACAAAGGTCTAATCTTGTTTCAACAGTCACTTTACTTTACATTAAAGGCAGAATAGCCTAGTAGACACCTAAATTTGTTCCGCTTTATCATCCCGGTCCCTATACATCACGAAGTTTCATTCAAACACTTGTGCTTGATTAAAATGAATATTATAAACCCCTCTGACCGTTGACCAAGCTTATTTGGCCTTTGTTTATCTGACTAGGATGGAATGCGTGGTATGCACGCGTAAAGAGAGCGTGAATCTATATTTTTATTTCTTTTTAAAAGGAAAAATTCAAATATGATAATTAAAAAAAACAGAGAAACAATATAAATAAAAGGGAAAACACCCCCTCCTCGCATCTTCAAAACCTTTACCTAACCCATCACCCCCGTCTGCTGCCTTCTACCCCGTACCCTTCATCCATCAAGACCACCCACCACCATCACTCCCTTCTTCCTTTCTCCCGTTCTTCCCACTCTTTACCCTTTTTTATTCCAAGAACAACTTCAAAATCTCTCTCCTAAACCCTTCCATCCAATCACCACTAGCCCACCACCACAAACCACTATGAACTCCGATAACGTTTCACCCTAGATTTTGACAACCTTTACTTCCAATCCTTGGTAGATCTTCTTGTCAACACTCGCCCTTCGATAAGCCAAGATGACGACGATGATAGCAGTCTGTATGAAAAATTTGGGATCTCTTTGGTTGGAAGAAATGGTGACTGGAGGAAAATTGATGAGATCTATGCTGCCTTATACTTTCTGCAATCATTTCATAACCCAAAAAAATAATCCTAATAGTTTCAAGTGCAACAGTTATGGTGAGACAAAGAGAGAAGAAGTTGAAGCCGATGAGTTTTTGAGGTTCTCTGAAAATCGAGAGGGAAGGTGAAAAATGGCGTGAAGGAGAAAAAAAATCTGGTATTAGTAAAGAAGAAGATGCTGATGTGGATTATGTATCTGACATGGATCTGATGTGTTATCCTTGTCACGGCAAGTGAGACTCACGCATAATGGGAGGGGTTTATAATATTCATTTCGATCAAGCACAAGTGTTTGAATGAAAGTTCGTGGAGTACAGGGACCGGAATGACAAACTGGAACAAGTATAAGTGTCTACTAGGCTATTCTGCCTACATTAAAACAAGGAACAAAAACCAGCCAAACCCCTTTAGGCTTTTTGGATAGAAAGATTCCAAAAGAAAGTAACAAGCAAAATCATAGACTCATATAGAAAAAGTCCCTTGGCTGTTGGCTGTTGATTTCATTGCCAAAAAAGGCATAAACTGTCTTCCCATTTGATCATGCCCTTCACTTTGCCTAAAATCACCATCTATTTTCTTTCTCTTTCTAGAGAGAAATACATAAAACAGGCCACAAAAGAGAAATTTCACATACATCCTCTGATATTTCTCAAAATGGGGCTGTTGAAGTTCGATAGAGAGACTTCTTTTTTGGAAGTTGAGCAGCTGCTGCTAAGCATAACTGACCACAAGGACAGATGAATGAAAATGATCAGTCTTTTTTATACATACACTTGCTTCTAAATTCAAGAACTTATTTAGTTATAAAACACGAAGTCTTAGCTCAATAAGGAAATCAGGATGTCTTCTAGGAATTAAAGAAAAATACCTGTTGTTGCTGATTCTTGAGCCTGGCATTTTCTTCCATCAAATGGGCTACTTTTAGCTCCAATTCATTCGTATAAGCCTGCAAGTTATACACAGGAAAACACTAACCAAAACAGAACAAGAAAAATTCATTTGCTTTCACTATAATAAAGATTAATGACCTTTTGAATGTAATGTTCCTAACTGCTTCTACCTACTTGTAGTTTGTATAAACCCCATTTACATAATTAATGTCCTTTTCTTATACTCTATCCGATGAGATAGTTTGACTCGGCACAGAATTTAAGAAAAACAAAAAGGATTTTTGAAACTTATGGTCTTAAAAGTTTAAGGGGGTAAAAGCTTTATGGGACTATGATATTTGTGTGGTTATAAAACCCTCTCATTAAGGATAAAATGAGTAAAATAAAGAGTTTAAGTTGAATTATTTCCAATTTTAGAAATATATCATTTTTTTAGAACGGACTAATAAGGAAACTGTGTCATCAAAATTGAAACAGAGCAAGTATATTTTTGGACTTTCTTGGGAAGAATTACTAGTATTTAGTTAAAAAATGGAGCTTATCAAATAAATGATTCTTTTTCATAGGCTTGGAGTGTGATCGGAGATAAAATTGAAGGTTGAGACATGTAAGAAAACTCAAACTCAAACTCTTGACCAGACCTCTACTTATTCTGGTATCATGTTGTATTATGTAGAATAGAAACATTTATTTGTTTATTGTTTGAACTTTTGTCCGTTAAAAATAGAATTAATTAAATAAAAGTATACTCTTTCTTACCAATAAATTTTTTAGATGATATTATTACACACGTATAAATTAATATGCTATCAGAGCACGTAAAAGTAGAATCCCATCATCACCCAATATCAAAAAAGAAAATTCAACGTGCTTAACCTATACAAAAGAATCAAAATGTGCTTTCTCACACATCTTAAGTTTTTAGATGAAACGGCAACAAGTTAACACTGCTGTTAAAACTGCACTAAAAATAGATTTAAAAAAAAAACACATATTGGGAGTGTAAATAGAAAAGCTACACTTTCCTGCTTTCTAGCCCTTGATCTAGCAGCAGACTCACGGTTCTTGATCATCCTCTTGTTTTTCTGGTCACTTGAATTGTTATCAGACTCACTGCACCTCTTTCTTCCATTAGCATTCTCTCCAACGGGTGAAGCCAAATCCTCAAATGACCTACTCGAGATAGCTTTTTGCTGCTGAGAACTTGAGTTTTGCCTTAAGTTACCAAAGAAATGAAGTCCAGGGCCAGAGTTTAATGTCAACACAGTAACAGCAGGAGGAGGAAGAATAGGGAAGACATAGCCTTTTGCTGCTGTTTTAGGGTTATTAGCAAATGGCCTAGCCAAGAAATCTTGTAAAATCATGCCACCAAAATTGGTAGAATTACTAGTATTTTGTTGTGGATCAATATGATCTCTAGGGGAAGTAGTAGTAGTGTGGTCATTTAGAGAAGAAAGATTTATGTCTTTCCAAACTTCTTCCGTGGTTTTAGTATTAAGTCTATGATTATTGCTAGTAGGTGTACGAGATGAAGAAGAAGATGTGGATGATGACATAGTGGATTTCTTGAGAGTGAAAATTGTTGAGAAAAAACAAATTGGTAGTGCTATTTTTTTTTCTTCTAGTACTACGTACTATTGTAGATATACAAATCTTTACAGGACTTATAACTTTAGAATTTCATGGCAAGTTGTCTCAAACAGTTGCGATGCTTTTTGTTTGTGAATTGTCAAGTCGGAATTGTACGATGAACCACGCGTCCCAAGTACGTGCTATGGACGTTCGATTTTTCCGTTCACACTTAGGTTTACCAAGTTGGGACAAGAGATACTGTCTTGCTTTTGTTTGTATGGTTGCAGAAATTTTCTATTTTAGTACGATGCGATTAATAAGAGTAATTTTTCTAATTATTGGCGAAAATTTTGACAAAAATTATCTATTATGTTTTAAAATAAGATCACATATACTTTCTTCAAGCCAGCTATGTAAATATAGGTGCATCCAAGATTTAAATTCTATGAGTTCAACATTTAAAGTTTTTAAAATTGTACAACTGTATCTTTAAACTTATATGTTCAGACTTATTATTTTTGGAAATATTAGTGAACTTTTACACATAAATATATTTTGCGTCAAAAGTATTGAGTTCAAATGACTCCGCTATTAAGATAGCAATATCCTTAATATAAGCACTTCATAATGCAGCAGCTGCCTAAGTTGTTAAAAATGTAATTACTAACATAAGTTACTGCCTACAGGCCCCTCCCTGATTTTATAGACACAACACAGAGACAAATGTCTAATGTTTCAAAGAAAGAAGAAAACGCCAGTCTGACTAAACTATATATGCCATTTCTCTACTTCCCACTTCCTTTCTTGCATTTCTATTTATTTTAATTTAAAATATCCAACACCCATTAATTCTCCTACCCCCTACAACCCTATGTTTCGAAAAGAAAAATAAGTGCACAATGCCACAAAAAACTAACTCCTTTTCCTACCGAATTCGAAGTAGGTGCACAGCATGAAATTTAAGGAGTAAAAACAAGTTTTTTAAAACTTATGATCATAACGGTTTAAAGGATAAAAACTTTAGGGAAATTTACATGAAAATACACTTGGAGAAAGCACTTTTCAGCGGTCTAACCCACAAATACGGTTTTCATCCGGTAGCCCACAAACATTAATCAATTTTATGAAAACAACTCGAACTTCGTCAATTACACCCAAAATCACGCCTAAATCAGATTTCGCTTTTTTCTTTCATTTTATCTTTTCCCTATTTCCATTTTTATTCTTATTTATTTTTTACTTCCCTCTGTATAGTATTTCCTAAAATTCACAATATCAGGAAGTTGAAGTAAAAAATATATTCATCCTTAGAGTCTATAATTTTATTTTTATATTTTTTTTTGCAAAATTCAATGTTTTGTAAGGGAAAATCTTATTTCACTGGAAAAAATAAAAATTTACATTATTAAACACCTTATATACATTGTTATACATAGTCATACGTTAATTATACATATGTCACGACCCCAATCCCGGTCGTGATGGCGCCCAACACTAATGCTAGGCAAGCCCGACCAATTTAAATACTCTCAACCCAGATACACAATCCGTTAACAAATAATACGATAAAAATAGAAAATATCAAGGTTCCAATTCGAAACTAATAAAATAGTATGGAAAAATAATAACGAATATCCCAACATTCCCCAATAGATCTGGAGTCACGAGTCTAGAGCCTCTAAATGTAACAGAGTGTTATATTCATAGTAATAAAGAAAAGTCTAGGATAGGAAAAGACAATGCAATAAAGGGGAGAAGTCGGGTCCTGCGGACGTCAGACAGCTACCTCAACGACTCCTAAACCGAAATCCAAGATGACAGTAAGCAGCTCCACTAAGTCTCCGGAGCACCTGAATCTGCACACATGGTGCAGGGAGTAAAGTGAGTACTTCCAACTCAGTGAGTAATAAACATATATAATGGCTGAAAGTAAGAAATCCCGAAATATTATAATATAAAGCTACAATCAACGATTCAGCATGTTAAACGATCAAACAACAGCAAACAATGACAATTAAGGCCAACAGATATAAAATGCATGAATGCAATGCAATGCACATAACCGCTGCGGCGCGCAGCCCGATCCATTTGGGTACTCGCGCTTACTGTGGGGGTTCAGACTCCGGAGGGGCTCCTACAGCCCAAGCGCAATATCATCGTAGCATTCGCTGCGGCGTGCAGCCCGATCTATACTTAGTCCAGATATATATATGCATGCAAGCCACTCGGGCACAGTCAAAGTGTTCATCTTTTAGTTTCAATTATTAGGAGTTATAGATCTATGTGTTTAAGTCTTCATTTATTTACTAAACATTTCAAAACAGTGTCTAACTCAGGACTGATATTATGAAATATGCTAAGCATCATAGAAACAGTGATGAGGATCCCTGAAGGATGCAAATGATAGGCACAAAGCCCCAACATATTCATAAAATCCAAGTAGGATGATTACCAAACAATTTCTAGTCAAGAACACCGTACGAACATCAATCGGAACGAACTGGGTCACAATCCCCAGTCACAATCGACCCCGCACTCGTTAGAGTGCGTGTCTCGCCTCAATATGGCGTCACAATGTGATATACCGGGATTTCAAACCCTCAGGTCATCATCTACATCTATTACTCACCTCAAGCCGGCCACAAGTCTAGCTCGCTATGCCTTTGCCTTTCGAATCAACCTCTTCGCACGCCGAATCCGATTAAAACCACAACGAATACGTTACAATAGGCTAAAGAAACATAACCCAATCGAAAAGACTCGAAAAACACTAAAATTCACGAAGTTGGCAAAACCCGAGCCCCAGGCCCACTTCTCGAAAAATTATGAAATTTACATCACCGGATTCCACGTCTCGCCACGAGTCCGTAAATATAAAATTTACCAAAATCGGAGCTCGTTTGGCCCTCCAAATTCCATTTTTACATCACAGCTTTCCAAGCCCTAGCTTGACCCGTTTTTGATGAAATTCTACTGATTTCTATGATAAATTTACCATAAACTCGAGTAATTAAGCCAAGGAACTTACCTCCACTCGATTCTCAGTCAAAACCCTCGAAAATCCTCGCCCAAAGCTCTCCAAGTCGCTTAAAAATGGTAGAAACTACCTCTTGCTCGCGGAGGAAATATAATATTAAAACCCTTCTGTTACTAGCGATTTTCGCTTCTGCGGTCCCGCTACCGCTTATGCGGGACCGCTTCTGCGGCCAAAAATCCGCTTAAGCGGTTTTCACTTAAAAACCGCCTCTTCGCTTATGCGGTTCAACCACCGCTTCTGCGGTTCCCTCAAGTCCGCTTCTGCGGTACAGTGTCCGCTTATGCGGACCCGCTGGTGCGAGCCACCTTCCGCTTTTGCGGAATTTCCCTAGCCGGCCAACGATCGCTTCTGCGACCACATACCCGCTTCTGCGGTACCGCTTCTGCGGTCCATTTCCGCAGAAGCGGGAACACCAGATGACAGCAAAAATCTGACCTGAAGCAACTTTAAAAACTCTCGTTTAATCACTCGAATTCACCCCGAGGCCTCCGGGACCTCAACCAAAAACACCAACACATCCTAAAACCTCATTCAAACTTGTACCCATCCTCAAAACACATCAAACAACGCTAAAACCATCAAATCACATCGAATTCAAGCCTAAGTTTCTTAAGAACTTCCGAATTACGCATTCGATCAAAAACCCGACCAAAACACCTCCGAATGACCTGAAATTTTGAACACATATCCAAAATCACCTAACGAAGCTACTGCAACTCTCGGAATTCCATTCCGACCCTCGGATCAAAATCTCACCTACCAACCGGAATTCGCCAAAATTCAACCTTCGCCATTTCAAGCCTAATTCTACACCAGACCTCCAAAATCACTTCCGATCGCACTCCTAAGTCACAATTCACCTCCCGAAGCTAACCGAATCACCGGAATTCACATCCGAGCTTTCTAACTAATAAGTCAACGTTCGGTTGACTTTTCCAAACCAAACCTTCTTTAAAGAGACTAAGTGTTTCATTTGCTATCCAAACCAATTCAATTCAACTCTAACTCACCCATTGCTGATAATAAAACATGAAAGAGCAATAAATGGGGAAAACGGGGCTGTAACACATGAGACGACGGGTTGGGTCGTCACATCCTCCCCAACTTAAACAAACGCTCGTCCTCGAGCGGGTCGAGAAGCATACCTGAGGTCTCAAATAGGTGAGGATATCTGCTCCGCATCTCCCGCTCAGTCTCCCAAGTAGCTTCCTCAACGGGCCGACCTCTCCACTGCACCTTTACCAAAGCTATATCCTTTGATCTCAATTTCCGAACCTGACGACCCAAAATAGCCACTGGCTCCACATCGTAAGTCAAGTCATCATCCAACTAAACCGTGTTGAAGTCTAATACATGGGACGGGTCCCCAACATACTTCCGGAGCATAGAAACGTGAAATACTGGGTGAACTCCCAACAAGCTGGGTGGCAAAGCAAGCATGTAGGCCACCTCCCCAACTCTCCTAAGTATCTCAGAAGGACCAATGAACCGCGGACTCAACTTTCCTTTCTCCCCAAATCTCATAACGCCCTTCATAGGTGAAACCTTCAACAAGACCTTCTCGCCCACCATGTAAGATACGTCTCGAACCTTCTGGTCCGCATAACTCTTCTGACGCGATTGAGCTGTACGAAGTCTCTCCTGAATCACTTTCACCTTCTCTAAGGCATCCTGAACCAACTCTGTCCCCAATAGTCTAGCCTCGCCGGGCTCAAACCAACCAACCGGAGACCTACACCGTCTCCCATATAAGGCCTCATACGGTGCCATCTGAATGCTGGACTGATAGCTGTTGTTGTACGCGAACTCTGCAAGTGGCAAAAACTCAACCCAAGAACCTCCAAAATCAATAACACAGGCACGCAACATGTCCTCCAATATCTGAATGGTACGCTCGGACTGTCCGTCCGTCTGAGGATGAAATGCGGTGCTCAACTCTACCTGTGTACCCAACTCTCGCTGAAAAGTCCTCCAAAACTGGGAAGTAAACTGAGTACCCCT